GTTTAATAAGGTTCCACTTGTTGATTGTTGACCTTAATTCCTGAGCAACTGCTATACAATTTAGAAAATCCTTTCCTACACCTATATCTTGTATGTTACTGCCAATATTTTCTTCTGATAGTTTCAGGGTTTCCAATCTCACATTGAGGTCTTTGATCCATTTGGAGTTGACTTTTGTACAAGGTGAAAGATAAGGACCTAGTTTCGTTCTTCTACAGGTGGAGATCCAGTTTTGCCAGACACCATTTTCCTCCATTGTGTGTTCTTGGCACCTTTGTCAAATATCAGATGGCTGAAATTGTGTGTACTTTGATTTGGGTCTTCAATGATGTTCCATTGGTCTATGTGTCTATTTTTGTGCCAGTACCATGGTGTTTTTATGACTATGGCTCTGTAGTATACTTTGAGATCTGGTATAGTAATCCCCCCAGTGTTGCTCTTTGTGCTCACGGTTGCTTTGGCTATCTGGGGTCTTTTGTTCATACAACGTTAAGGATACTTTTTTCTAACTCTGTGAAGTATGTCATGGGGACTTTGATTGGCATTGCACTGAGTCTATATATTGGTTTTAGTAGGATGGTCATTTTCACATTATTAATTCTTCTAATCCATGAACGTGGGGGGTCCTTCCATCTTCTGGTGTCTTCCTCAATCTCTTTCTTTAAAGACTTAAAATTTTCAGCCAGGCTTGGTGGTGCACACCTTTAATCCCAGCACTTGGGAGACAGAGGCAGGTGGATCTCTGTGAGTTCAAGGCCAGCCTGGTCTACATAGTGAGTTCTAAGACAGCTGGGGCTACAGGGAGACCCTGTCTCAAAAAGACCAAAAAAAAAAAAGATTAAAAATTTTCACTGTAGAGATATTTGATGTCTTTGGTCAGGTTTATTCTAAGATTTTTTGTTGTTGTTATTGTGAATGGGAGCATTTCCTTGTACTCCTTCTCCAATTGCTTGTTATTGCTATAAGGAAAGGCTACTGATTTTTGTAGATTAATTTTTTAACCCTCCACTTTACTGAAAGTGTTGATCAGTTCTAGGAGTTTTCTGGTGGAACTTTTTGGATCTCTTAGGTATAGTATCATATCATCTGCAACAGGGGATAATTTAACCTCTTCTTCCCCAGTTAGTACTCCCTTAATTTCCTTCTCTTGTCTTACTACTCTAACAAGAATTTCAAGCACTATATTGTAAAATGAGTGGAGATAGTAGATATCCTTGCCTGGTTCCTGACTTTAATGGGAATGCTTCCAGTTTTTCTTCATTTACAATGGTGTTGGCTGTGGTTTTGTTGTATATAGTTTTAATTATGTTGACGTATGTTCCCTCCAGTCCAATTCCTTTTAGTACTTTTATCATGAATTCATGCTGAATTTTGTCAAAAGCCTTTTCTGCATCTATTGAAATGACGATGTGAGTAGTTATATATGATTGATGACATTTATTGACTTGCATATATTGATCCATCCCTGCATCTCTGAAATAAAGCCTACTTGATCATGGTGAATGTTTTTTTTTTTTTTTTTTTATGTACATCTGTATGTGGTTTGTAAGTATTTTGCTGTGAATTTTTGCATCTATGTTCATTAAGGATATGGGTTTATAGTTTTGTTTTTTGTTTCTTGATGGGTTTTGTGTGTGTGTGTGTGTGTGTGTGTGTGTGTGTGTGTGTGTCTTTACGGTTTGGGCATTAGAGTGATGCTGGCTTCATAGAATGAGTTTGGGAGTTCTCACTCTGTTTCTATCATTTTAAATAATTTAGATTGTATTAGTCGGAGGTCTTCTTTGAATACCTGGTAGAATTCTGCTGTAAATGCATCTGGGCCTGGGCCTTTTTTAGTCTAGAGGTTTTGTATTGCTGTTTCAATTTCCTTATGTGTTATGGGTCTGTTTAAACTGTTATCTCTTCTTGGTTTAACTTTGGTGGTTCCCATGATTTTAGATATCCATTCTTTCTTTTAGGGTTTCAAATTCAGTAAAATATAAGTTTTTAAAGCATTCCCTTATAATGTCCTGGATCTTTTTGGTGTCTGTTATGATGTTTCTCCTTCCATCACTGATTTTGTTGATTTGGATTTGCTTTTTATTTGGTTAACTGGGCTAAGGGTCTGTCTATCTTGTTTAGCTTTTCAAACAACCAGCTCTTAGATTCATTGATTCTTTGTATTGTTTTCTTTCTTTCTAGTCCATTAATTTCTGCTTTGATTTTTGTTATTTCTCCTCTTCTACTGGGTTTGAGTTTTATTTGTTCTTGCCTTTCCAGCATCTTGAGTTGCAGTGTTAGGTCATTTATTTGACCTCTTTCTAATTTTTTAATGTAGGCACTTAGGGCCTACATTAGGACTGCTTTTAAAGTATCCCAGAGGTTGTGTTGTGTTGTATTGTCCTTTTCATTGAATTCCAGGAATTTTTTATTTCTTTCTTAATTTCTCCTTTGACCCACTCATTGTTTAGGAGTGTGTTTTTTAATTGCCATGAGTTTGTGTAGTGACTAGGGTGTCTTCCAATGTTGATTTTGAGCTTTATTGCATTGTGGTCTAAGAGAATGCATGGAATTATTTCAGTATTTTTCTATTTGTTGAGGTTTGTTTTGTGCCCCAGTATTTGCTCATTTTTTGAGAAAGTTCCTTAGGGCACTGAATAGAAAGTGTATTCTTTGATGCTTGAGTGATTATTCGGAAGATGTCCATTAGGTCCATTTGATGTGTGGTATTGTCTAGTTCAGACATCTCTCTGTTTATTCTTTGTCCAGTTGACCTGTCTAATGGAGACAGTGGGGTATTGAAGTCCCCACTATTACTGAGTTGGGATTAATCTGTGTTTTATAGGCCTGTAGTGTTGTTTTATGAATTTTTGTGCACCAGAGTTTGGTGCATATATGTTCAGGATTATAATATCTTCTTGGTTAACTGTTCCTTTGAACAGAATGATGTGACCCTCTTTATCTCTTCTGATTAGTTTTAGTTTGAAGTCTATTTTGTCAGATATTAGAATTTCAATCCACTTGTTTCGTAGTGCCATTTGCTTGGAATATTCTTTTCCATCCTTTTACCTTAAAGTAGTGCCTATCCTTGAAGGTGAGATCAGTTTCATGTAGATAGCAAAAGGTTGACTTTTGTTTCTTAATCCAATCAACTGGCCTGTGTCTTTTGACTGGGGAGTTCAGTCCACTGATATTTGAAGCTATTATTGAAAGACCTTTATTGGTTGCCATCATTTTCATTACTGTTTGCATTCTTTGTCTAATTTTGTGTTTCCACAATTAAACATTTGTTTAGTTTCTTTCTTTTTTTGCTCCTGGGTTATGGTTGTTCCTTTATCCATTCTTTGCTTCAAGTATTCTTTGAAGGGCTTTGTGGACATGTATTCTTTCAGACTGTTCATGTCATGGAAGATTTTTCTTTCCCCCTCAACTATAATATACATCTTTGCTGGGTAAAGTATTCTGGGATGGCATCTATGGTCATTTAGAACTGGAAATACCTTGGTCCAGGCTCTTCTGAATTTCATAGTTCACACTGATAAGTCAGCTGTAATTCTGATGGGCTTTCCTTTGTATGTGACTTGTTGTTTTTCTTTTGCTGCTTTCAGTATTCTCTCTTTGTTCTGTACATTTAGTGTTTTTACTATGATATGCTGTGTGAGGTTTCTTTTCTGGTCCTGTCTATTTTGTGTTCTATATGCTTCATGTATTTGTATGGGGATGTCTTTCTTAATTTTGGGAAATTCTCTTCTACAATCCTGTATAAGATCTGGTCAATACCACTAACCTGAAATTCTTCTCCTTCCTCTATTCCCACGATCCGTAGATTTGGTCTTTTCATGATGTCCCACATCTCTTGCATATTCCATTACTGTGTTTTTTTTAATTTTTCATAATCTTTGCTTGAGTGGTCCAATTCTTCAACCTTATCCTCCAGTTTTGATATTCTGTTTTCTATTTCATTCATTCTAGCAGTGAGGCTTTCCCCTGTTGTTTTAAGTTGGCTTATTGAGTTTTGCACTTCCTTCTTCATTTACGCCTGAGTTTTCTTCAATGTTTTGATCTCTTTTGTGAATTCATTCAGAAATTTATCCCCTATCTTCTCTTAGTTCTTTGATTTGTTTGTGTGTTAAGTTCATTGAATTTCTTGATCATGTTTATGACTCTTCTTTTAAATTCTGTGTCCTAGGTTATTACTAGGGGGTTCTCCTTGTAGAACTCTTCTACAGGACTGGTGGAGTTTGGTGGGGACATAATGTTTTGACTTTGCATTTTATTATTTTTTCGTTGTGATTTTGGCATGTGAATTTCTTTTGTTGGTGGTGATGCTGGTATGAAAATCAAGTCTTCTTTTGGAGTTGAATTTTGCTTCTGTTTGTATTATTGGTGTGCCTTAGTTGTTTTCTTATTGAGTTTGTAGAGCTGGTTGGTCTAGGTTTCAGGTTCTCTCAGATTTTATTTTGGAGGGAATTGATAGCTTCAGATCAGCTACTCAGGAGTTCCCACAGAAGCCCAAGACAGGCTCCAGTCAGGTACACTCAGACTTCCTTCTAATGTTTGGACCCCTACCACTCAGAGCCCAGTTTGGGAACTTCCTAAGGGGAGGCCAAATTTTGGCACTTTCAGGCAGTCTGCTGAGTTTTCAGCCCGTATACTAGGTGGAGGCCAGATCAGATGCTCTCAGGCTATCTGCTGAGTTCTCAGAGTCTAATCCAGACAGAGGCCAGAATAGTCACTTTCAGGCTGTCTACTAAGGTCCTTAGAATCACTTTTATAAGGGTTTGCTGCTGAGTAGGTTAACCAGGCTCCAGAGGATCTATACCCAAGAGTATCTGGGGGAACACAAAAGAGACTCCATAGCCTTTAAAATAGAAAAAAAAAAATAATAATAATAATAGAGGACATGAAGTGAAGGGGAGGCCAGGAAGCTAAGGATGGGCCTGAGAGGGGAGGAGTCTGAATATGATCAAAATATATTGTACGAAATTCTCAAAGAAATACTAATTGTTTTTAATTCACAGAACTAAATAAGAGGAATTTATACTTAGAATGATGTCTGAGTTGGTGTAAGACATGGACATATGTAGGAATTTGGAGCCACAGAGAATCCTGACAGCAGTGATCCCCATGAAACAACAGGAATGCTGAAACGGTCAAGCTGATGGACCTCAAGCAGAGACTTCTAGGAAGTGAAGGATATTTCAGCTTCAGGGAGGACAGAACTCTCAGTTCATGGACAGAACTCTCTCTCTCTGAACAGGTGGGGCTGGAAGTAGAGCTCCAAAGGCTGAGAAGGAAAGGACGACATGCTGGGCTAGAGGGTGCAAAGAGGTGATGTCACCTCTTCTGCCCATTTCCCCTCCCCCACACTCAGAAGCCCTTTGTGACAGGGAGACAGGAGTTTTGTGATGCAGGCCTGGGCCCAACTCCCTGCAGAGAACTCCCAGAACTCAGGATACCAACAGTGAGGTAGGATGGAGAGTCTTCTGTCTCTTCTGGATGTAGTCAGTACTGCATGGCTGAGCCCTGGCTGCACTACCTGGGCAATGAACATGATGTTTGCCTTTTTGTGTGGACTGGGGCTCTTCTACCTGTTATTGTCCTACCTCCAGTTTAACCCACCCTCACCCCCAGCAGGGAAGAGCAAGAACATTGGAAAGGTAAGAAAGCCTTAGCCAAGACCCAACAGAGAATGGTTATGTCCACTTTTCCTAGTCAAATAGAGGGATAGATTACAGAAAATCTCAGCAAAGCACAGAGCCTTCTGGGAACTGAAAAGCAAGGCAGGGCTGAAAGAGGCTCCAAGATGTCTATCTGAAGCCCTCACGCCATCTGTGTAGTGTTCTGGGTGTGCCAGGGAGGAGCATTGTGACTCAATGCTTAAGGACTACATGCCTGAGATGGCTGGGGACCTCTAGGGAGAGACAGGCTCTGAGTACTGGTTCATCTGTCCCTCATTTGTCAGTAGAGCTGATGTGGAGGGTGATGAATCCAAGGACATCAGATCAGGGCCTGAGTCACCCCTGGTCTCAGGAAATAGACCTTACCTGGCAACTCAGAGTGGACCTGTGGTTACTGAGCAGAGGAGATCCAGGGTGGGTCTCACATAGACAGTCCCCACTTGGTTTTTCCACATAAATAACTGTTTTCACTGTCTTCATTCTGGGATTTATGCATGTCCTCTTTGAGTTCTTTGAACATATTTATAAAAGCTATTTTGAAGTCATTTCCTTATGTATCTACTAAGTTGCTCTTCTCAGGAGACATTGGGATGGTGTACTTAATTCTGGAAGGGACATACTGTTTTGGATATTCATGTCGTTTATTTATTTGCAAGGGGGCCTAGGCGTCTGGAGGTATGTGGTTGGTAGTGTTTCTTGGTGTGGGTATCTGGTCTCATCTTTGCTGAGTGGATGTTTGGATCTTTGTTTGCTGTTACCCCAACTCATCAGGTTGTGGACCAGCTCAGTGGAATTTGGGGTTCAATCTTAGAGTAACCATCTCTTGATGTGCCATAGAGGTGTCACATCTGTTCCCAGCACAGCAGGGGATATGGGCACTTCTGAGCCCAGGAGCAAACCTTCTCCTCAGAGAAGTCTCACTGCCCGTCTTCAGAGGTCTGTGGGAGACTCACAGTGTTCTTCTACATGTGGTCCTTGTGAGGCAGGGACTGAAATCCCAGTGAGAATGGACAGTACTTCCCACAAGCCAGGGAAAGTTACATGGACCTCAAGCAGAGGTGGGTGGCAGCTTAGTTGGGGGTCTCTACCTGGGTTCAAGGTTGCAGGACACCTTGAGGACCCTAGGGGCATGATGAGTTGGGGAGGTTTCAGGGTTAGGGAGACGGGCTGTGGGAGTGCCTATGTGGAGTCAGGGGTTACAGGGGCCACTCAGTCCCAACAGAAGGAAGGGAGGGGTCACTATCAGGTTCAGGGAAGGACTCAGTCCACACTAATAATAGGCGAATTAAAGAGAAGGGAAGTCTCAGGCAAATGTAGAAGTCTATATTATCTAAGAGCATGGAATACAAGAAGCTTATCTTCAAAAAGGTGGGAGAATGGGGCCCCAGCTCCTTCCTGTGTCTGTCTCTGTCAGGTGGTGAAGTGGGAGCAAAGAAAGACCAGAAAGAAAATGACAACTGTGAAAGGTAGGCTCTTTCCTTTTCTTCCAGAGGGGACTTTACCTCTCCTGTCCCTGAGTGATGATACCATGTCCCTGAGGATGAGTTGCAGAAACATAAGGCTACTCCTAGGAAGGAAATCAGAATTGAAGGCACTTTCCGGGTTCTGTGCTTGGAATGAAGTTGTGGTTGGCCAGGGTTGGGCATTACCCATGGGAGTGATGTACAAGGGAGAGGAGCCATGCTACCTGGATTTGGCGGGGAACTGATTGTCTCACTTCTCCAAGACCTGTTCTCATAGAACACTGGTCTTTCCCTCCCCTCCAAAGGGAGGTTATGAAGCCCGCAGAGGTTGAACTGGAAACACCTGGCCACGAGTCCTGCCCTGCTCGTGCCTTCCCATCACCGTGTTCGGGCATGTGGCCTTGTTCCCTGATGCCTGGGCTCGTTTAATTTTTCAGTTTCTACCAAGGGGACATTTCATTCAGTTGCTTGTTAAGAACCAAGTCCCTTTTTTTCATCCGCCCTAACTGTCCGTTTCTAGCTTACAGAGGTGACAGGAAAGCTGGCAAGAGGAAACAGAAGCTGCTGTCATTTCCGCTAAGGTACCTGGGTCCTCATTCCTATTCCTGCCTACTATGTGACTCCTCCGCATGGCTCAGGGTTGTTATTCAGTGCTGGATGTGGCCTCTGGGCGGGTGGGGTATGAGCACAGTCCTGGAATATAACAAGCACTTTGTAAAAGTCAGGGTGTGGTCATGGGCCACGGGTGTCCTTCCCTGTTCATCCTGCGGTGCTGCCTCCTGTATCCTGCAGCATGCTAGGGAGACTTATTGATGCCATCAGGTTTCACCAGCTCTTAAGGGGAGATACCTCACGTGAAATGCTCAAACCAGCATCTGCCAAAGCCCAGCAGCTACCTAGTCAACCCATGAAGGATGCCTTTACCAACACCTTGTCCCTAGTGGGCTCCTCAGCTCCTCTCAAAAGCCACTTGCTGCCTGTAGACTCCACCTTGTCACCTGGCCTGCCGAATTCCCAAGTTTCTATTGAGTCACAGTCATCTCTAAGTACCTCTCAGCCACCGGAGACTTGGACCATCAGATGATGCCTTTCACCAAAACCACAGGCATCATCTTCTCCCCCATCTCATACTCCTGACCCTCTGGTCTGTCCTCCATCCACACCAGATCCCAGCCTTGTTCTTTCTCAGTGTGACAAGAAACCAATTTCACTGAGAACTATCTCACAGACTATATCTCAACCCAGTTTGCCTTCTCCTGTCCCAACTACCCTGGGCCTTGATCACTCAAGAAGCACTATCACAGGCTCTTCCTGTTATGAGGTGGCTGCCATAGCCTGGTGCCACTCAAACTCATCAAATGGCAAATCTTTGCATGAACTTCTTTCTCTTAACCTAACAAAGGCCTCATTCTTGAAGAAGCCACACACAGACAGATAGAGACAGGATCTCTCTTTCATCAACCCTGACGTCCAGAAGCTGCTAGAGCTACAGATTAGCAAGATAGTCAGACTGAAAGTTTATAAGAAAAAGAGGGGTCTGATAACCCCTTGAATCCTCTGGGAAATATGTTACAGTCAATGAGCATCAAACAGCACATTACTACCCCACACCCTTTCTGGAGCAGAAACAGCAAACCGAAGCAGTTTCCTGGTCACCAGAAGCTCTCTTACCAGGACTTAGGTGACAGTTTAAATCACAGATGTAGCCAGCTTTTCTGGGGCCTCCCCTTTCTTCACAGCGAGTCCCTCATGTCTGCTGTTGGGGTGTCAGGCTCGCCCCTGAATTCTCCTCCTTCCATCTTATTCAGTGGCCTCTCCCCTTACACTCCAGTGCAAGTTCATACTAAGGTTCCTCCACAACTCTTTTCCTCCCAGCCCATGCTTCACCATTTGGTCCAGCCCCAACCTTTGTCTTCCACCTTGGCTTGGCCCCAACCTCCACCAGTGGCTGGAATTGAAACCCAGGCCCATCTCCCATCTCCACCCCCAACCCTACCTTGCCATTCACCTCCAGTTAGGGATTGTGGGGTTTCTTACCCCACAACTTCAAAATCTATACCTGTGGTTCCACCTGCTGTTCAAGGTCTTGAATGCCACCTTCTGAAAAAGCACCTAGAAAGTAGAAGCAATTTACCCTCCATAGTTAAATGGTCTCAGGATGCCTTCAGTCAACTCAATTCTAGTATTTGGGCCTCCCAGGACCAGAGGTCAGTTGTCAACCTCTCGGAATTTTATTTATGGTGAGCTCCAGCAACAATTGAAACAACACTTTAAAAGGAGGTTGGCACAACACCAAGGCCAAAGCCCTCGAAAAATCCACCTGTCTCCGGACCTGAGTCTCAGGACAAAGTGCCAGAGCCAGGCCAAGGAGAAGACAAGTGTGAGCCTTCAAGGGCCTCAGTATTCGGAGATAAAAGCAGCCAGCATACACAGAGCACCACAGTCATCCAGATATGGAAGAGTTCATGGGAGAATCTGGGGAACTGTCTGGGGAGATCTGTAAAAGATGTGCCCAGGAGCCCAGAAGGGTCCCCAGGAAAGGTTCTAGAGGCTATTTCTGAGACAGAACCAGAAATCAGACAGATTATATCCTTAAAGGGACTCAGGAAATGTTTCAGTGGAGGCAAGTGAGGAGCATATAGAAGGTGTCCTGAAAGCCCATTTAAGCAGAAAGTTGGGGCAAATCAATGAAGGCAATGTGCCTCGGGGCATTTGTCGTAATGAGCTTCCTAGAAACCATACATCGGTCCCTTCTGAAAATGCAGAGACAAATATGGGATCTGTAACTGAATCTTTGAATGAAGTGTTAGCTGCAAGAACATCTCCCAGAGACTTGACTTCCTAGATACTGGCACTCAGCAGGTGCTAGAAACACATCTTAAAAGATGTCTGATGAGGCATAGGTGGAGGCCGCCCCTCAGAATCCTCAAGACTACACGTCATACCTTGAAAAGGCCTCCATCCTTGCCCACTGCAGAGTCTCCTATTCTCTGTTTGGTCTCCTGGGTCTCTAAAGACAAATCCATTAGCAAAGCAGCCAGTTTCCTGAAAGAACCTCTTCAGAAAGACCAAGAAGACGTCATAACAACAATAGCTCCCACCATGCAGAGCCCTCTCCCTGCCCCTCCATTCCACTCTCTGAGAGGAACTTCACCAGATGGACCCTCTGATGGGCTCTTCAAACTGTCAGAGAGGGCAATGTGTCTACTCAGCCCCACACATACAGCCTCGTGGGTAGGTGCTGGCACCATGCTACAGTCCTGGGGTCTTGGATAAGCAACCCAGAGACAAGCCCAAGCTTAGGTATGGGCTGGCGTGAGCCACAGAGTGAGCATGAGGCGCAAAGAGACCTCTACCATGGGGTGACAGTACCAGAGATCAGTATGACATCCCGGCCACTAAATACCAGAGATACCAGGGAGATGGAGGAGGCTGAGGAGGAATTCTGTGGTTGGGCAGTCACTATGGGAGACAGGGATATGGCAAATTCCCAGACCAATAATGAACATCTGAGGAATTTAGAATCTCTGGAGACCAGTGAAAGTGCAATCCCTTCTAGAACTATTTCCCCGAATGCAGGCGACTCCAGCCTGAGCACACCTCACCACTCAGCCACTGGTATATTCCTGCAGGACTGTGCCACTGGTATATTCCTTGAAGACTGTGCCCCTGAGGTGCTGCTTGCTGCAGACATCCTGGCCTCCCAGGCCTCTCTCTCCAGGTTCAAGACTATCAGCAAGTCACCATCCCAGGACAAGTCTTTGTTGTCAAGAGAAGAGAGTGGTCCCAAGATTCCCAAAGTCTCACAACCTTGGACTAACCATATCTTTGGTCCAACTGACAAGAAAGAAATCTCAGCGAGTCCCAGGCAAGATGTAAGGCCTTCTGGGGTGAGGTCTACCAAGGCCTGCCAGTCAGGCATCCCTGAAAACAAGTCTTCCTCGCCTGCGGAAAAAAAGTTTGGGGCCAGGATAAAGAACTTTATAATGTCAATTTTCCCGCCAAAAGGCAAAGTACAGGAAAACTTGCTGAGAAAAGTCAAGGCCTCATCAGCCACTGCCCAAAACCAAGGGTCAGTCATAGACAAAATGTTCATGCCCCTCCAGGTGGCTGAGGCAAAAGATCTCATGTCCTCTGTTGGATGGATTCTAGAGGAAAAAATGGGGGTTCAACATGCATGTGCTCTCTCAAGGAAAACTTTGCACAAAGAACCACCTCAGGCCCCAGTGAGTAGGCATGTCTGCTGCAACATGAAAATTACTTCAAAGTCTAAGAGAATGCAAGGAAACAAGAGCTTTGTTCAAGCCAACCCCAAGATACACAGCCAACCTTCCACAAACAGACAGATAAGATACGTCAACAACCAGGTCCAGCAACCAGTGTCCCAACCTAGTCACTGGCCACATAAATTAGGACAGAATGTTCACTGTCCTAGGCACTGTCTTTGTAGAAATGTGATATCTGGCAAAGAATATGCTTTCTCACATGTGCCTTGATAGGAAATAATCCCTTTGAAAAAATGAACTCTTTTCAAAAATAAACTTATTCTCAAAAGAACATATCCTCTGTGCTAACGGCTTCATTTTCCAAAATAGGTATTGCTCCTCTTTGGAGGTAATGGCTTCTGTCTGCAGTGATAGGGCACAGGGAAACATCAGCATCTGGTCTACCTCAGTGCATCTTCTGGTGAGACAGGGCACAGGAGGAGTGGGGGCTTTGAGATCCCACCCTCACCCAACTCCATTGTAGTTGTTTGTGCTAATCATTCTGTCGTTATGGAAACAACAAAGTCTGTAGATGATTTTTAGGAAGACCCCACTGCAGTTTCTGGCTCAGTATGTTTTTTTCTCTGATTTTCTCTAACTTGATCTTTGCCCAGCTGTGGAGATGGGGATACAGAGAGAGCACAGTGCCTTCATGTGTCACAAAGGATGCAGGAATGATGGCAGTAGTGTGGCAGCCCTGAGGCCAGAGTGGGAGAACCTGGCTTCTAGATGTCCTGGTGAGGAATCAAGGACATCTATCCTAGGAGCCCCCACTCACCCTGATTGAGGCTGCCAAATTACTGAGCCCTACAGGACCTCCTATCTCAGATTGGATGACAAGGCAGTGTCACCTCCCCATCTCAGCTTTCAGTTCTCTCTAGAACAGTGGCCAGCATGGAACTAGCAGCTTTGCATGTGGGTAGGAGCTGAAGGATGGCTGATAATTGTTTCAGGAATTCACAGAGAATCCAACCAGAGACATTCACAGACTTTCCCAACACAGCCAACACAGACCTCCACAGAGTATCATAGAGAACCCACTCTGAGAGACCCCCACAGAAATGGTTAAAGTCCCTGACAAAAATCTACACCAAGTAACACCTCGGAGTTCTTCCTAGAAATCTTCAGAAATCCCCGCTGTGCTGGATAGCTTTAGTTGTCAACCTGACACTCCTGGGTAGAGGAAACCTCAATTGATGAATTGCCTCCATTGGACTGGCCTGTGGCCATATCTCTGGGGCTTTTTCTTGATTGTTAAGAGATGTGGGTGGTGCCACCCCTGGGCAGGTGGGCCTGTGTTGTATAAGAAAGTAGGTTGAGTAGGGGCCAAGGGAGCAAGCCAGTAAGCAGCATTTCTCCGTAGCCTGTGCTCCAGTTCCTGCCTCCAGGTTCCTGTCCTGAGCTCCTACCTTGGGCTCCCTGATGAACTGTGACCCAGGAAATGTAAGCTAAATAAACCCTTTCCTCCCCAAGTTGGTATTGGTCAGAGTATTTTTGTCACAGTAGTGAAGAAACTAACTAAACACCTGCACACATACAGACAGATGTACACACAGACGTCCACAGAGAACCACACAGTGAGACTACAGTAGTGACTTTAATGAAATCTTTATAGTCCCTGGTAGAAATCCACACTGAGACCCACAAAGTTCCTCCCACAGAGATGAAAATTGGCATTCACACAGTAATCTTTAGAAATTCACACAAACCTTCACCAAAAAATGCGTAGTAACCTACACACAGGCCCCTACAAAGACCTTCACAGAAAGACAGCCCAAAGACTCACACAGAAATACTGCCACAAAATCCAACACTGAAGCCCTGACAGACACCATACACAGCTTCTGTACTGACTCCCACAGAGACTTCTACATAGATGATACAGAAACATCCTACAACAAAGACAGGACGAAAGTAAGACCTCAGAGTCCTCATAGAGACCCAACACAGACCTTCCAGTCTTTTGACAGAGACTTCAGACCTCAGAGACTTTTCAAAGAGGCCTGATATATATAAAGATGGCCACACAGCCCTCCCATAGAGAAAATGCAGAGACCTCTCACTGACATACAGAGAGCACACAGACTTTTCAGAGACCGCAGATCATCCCTATGCTGAAATCTCACATAGAGGTGCATCACAGATACTGTGGAATGACAAACCACAAAAACTACACAATCACCAGGTGATAGCTCAATGACCTGCAGAGAAATGAAGAGAACCCATGTGGCCCCACATGAAAGGTCTTAGAGGCAGGCTCAGGAGGGACATGGACACGGAGGGGGGGGGCGGTCTGTGGGTACGAAGTTTATGGACAGATAAATAGCATAATGGGGGCTATGAAGGCAAGAATTACGGCCCACATGACAGAAGTGACATTCTGTTCTTCTCTGAGGGGGGAAGTGGCTTCACAGCACAAACTTGGAGGCAGGCTCTCCGATTCCCAGGCAAGAGACAGGCAAGGAGATTGGGAGCTTGATGTGTGCCCCTCCAGTACCCCATTTGATGTAAGCTCAGTTCCCAGCACCTGAAAGTCTGAAAGCTAGAGATTCACAGTGTATCTCAGTGGGTGCCTGTGAGAGGGGAAGGGCCGCTGCAAGGATGTGGCCTGAGCAGCAGCTGGATTCTAACACTTATGTTCTTACGCCACAGAAACCTCCCACACAGGTGTCACAGATTTTCCAGAATCTTCTACGTATGGCTCACCCAGATGTCTCTACAGTTCTGACACAGAAGTCTGTGACAGCAATCTCCTGCAGCACCCAGCCTCACAGGAGCCTCAGTCAACCCAGAGACTACCATTCACTGCAAAGACAGTGCCGAGATGTCTCACAAGGGATCTTCACACAGAGACCTGACATTGCTCCCAAACCCCACACAGAAACCACAGAGTTCCCACAGACACTTCCCTCAGAGGTTCTCATCCATCCTACCTGATACCACCAGTTAGGCACTGGCCCAGAACCCCAGGTCAGTCAGTCAGCATGCGTAACAAATGGGATTCTCTGCTTGAGGTAAAGCATGAGAATTTTGGTTCCTGTGTAGTTCCATGGCCTCTGAACAGAATTACTGATTCCATATTTATACCTACAGAATTATTTTTCTACACATCCTTCAGTAACTGCAGCCTCTGATCCATGGCTGTTGTATAGCAGTTTCTTCCAAACTGAAACATTCCTTCCCAAAAGGAAGCCCCCGCCCCCAAGTGCTGGAGGAGGAGTCTCTGACCAGCTGAGCTGCTTGCAAAATGAAGAGCTTTCCATGGAGGCAGCCTTCATGTTGGGGTGAGCTTTTGGGGGTCAGAGGTGTCTTTGAGTCATCCCTGCTCCTTTAAGTTACCCCTTTACTCATACTCCTCTAAGCACCCCCAATAAAAACTCATTCTTTCAACAAATTGGACTTAGGTGTAATCATTACTTTAGTCTGTCTTGGGTTGCCTTTCTGGGTGAGTAGATCAGTGTGTGTGGCATCTCCCCAAGAAAAGTCTCATATACGATTGTGTACAGTCTCAAATTGCACACATTAAAAAAAAAAAAAAAAAAAAAAAAAAAAACAAGAAACAGTCTCTTATGGTAGATGGACTAGCTTTCACCACAGGAATGCACATGTCCTAATCTCTAACACTCTGCCAACCTCCAATGAAGAAAGCTATTTGCTTAGTTGTAATCTGTTCGACTAGTGTTAGTGACACTTTGGGGTTTCTTTTGTTTCGTTTCTCATTTTGTCGTAAACAAGAACAGAAGTAAAGATAGCTGAATTCTTTTGGAAACACAATGAAACTGATCTCTAGGAATAACAAAAAACATCAAAAAGACACCTGGACCCAGGCACCTACAGGAGCACCACCTAGTCTGCTGGGAAGGTAGAGGAAGTGTCTCAGCCTCCCACATCTGTGACTCAGGCGCTAGCTCATCGGTCTGCCACACCCACAAATGGCATGAACAGGTGAGAGGACTTCATGCAGTTGTAAGTCTAAAGTAAGATACTAGGGAAAAGCAAAGATCTTGCCATTAGAAAAAGAGCAAGAGCGCCTCCAACAGTTTGAAATCTGTTATTTCTAATCATGGTAGAGGCCTTGCTACTCTGCCTGCCCATCCTCAGAAAATACTGAGGGTTGGGGACATAGCTCAGATAGTAAAGTACTGGCTACACAAGCGGTGGCAGCCGCAGTGGGAGAACTGAGGCTACCCAGACCTGGCCAGTGGCGCTACAGCCTCCTCCACTGATCCCGTATCCCCTTGAGGCCTAGGAGGAGCTGAGGTTCCATGGTCAAGAAGGATATAGGCAATCCAGATGAGAAGCTGGCAGCGAAGAGAAAAATGGACAAAAAGTGGGCATTGATGTGGCTGTAGAGGGCTCTATTGCCTCCGTCCTCCCTCCTGTTCTGTCCCCTCCCCCTCTGTCTCTAAGTAAATTATGGTTGGGGTGGGAGAGGCACAGGAGAGGGACTTGGACCTGGATTTATGCATCTCACAAGCATGCACAAAACCAAAGTTTGCCAGCTGAGTAGAATTTCACTTAGGGTTGAAAAGGAAATTCTGCCTTGGTGTTTTTGTTTTATTATTTATTTATTATTTTTGGTCTTTTTGAGACAGGATCTCCCTGTAGCCCCCACTGGCTTTGAAATCACTTATGTAGACCAGACTGGCCTTGAACTCACAGAGATCCATCTGCCCCTGACTCCCGAGTGCTGAGATTTGTGGGTGTCTCTGTCCCCTCACAGGCCGTTGGCTACTGACCCACGAGAACAAAGGGAGCAGAAGTGACGAACGGGGTCAGGACGGCCAGTGAGCACGGATGGAAAAAACCTTCCGGGGAGTCAGATTCAGTGATACAGCTCCATTTATTCAGTGGGGGGGGGGTCAGGGAAAATATAGTGTGGAGGCAGCAGCCAAAGCTTCAGCTGATAGGTGCTCATAGTATGCTTTATTTACATGTGGTAGGGGGATCCTATCATCCGACTATAGGGCATGCCTAATTACAGAAAAATCTGGGGGCAGTTTTATTGCAGGTAATTATGCCAAAGGTCATGTTCCAAATAAGGTCAGGCATCCGTGCTTGGAGGCACTTTCCAGATAAGTCAGACAGAGACCAGGAGGCCCCCCGCTGAGAAAGGGCGTCCTTCCATATAGCGCAGAGTGGACTGCAGCCTTAGCAGCAAGGTCCTCCAACAGAGATTAAAGGAGTGGGCCACCATGCCCGTCTTTGTTTCATTTTTTTTTTTTTGATGG